ATAGATAGATAGATAGATAGATAGATAGATAGATAGATAGATAGATAGATAGATAGATAGATAGATAGATAGATAGATAGATAGATAGATACTGATCACCTGAAAGCATTTGTTTTCTCTAAGTGTTTCCCATCACTCTAATCATTTTCTAATCACTTTTCTCTTCCCTAATATCCATAAATTCAGAGATTAAGGATTAGTGTTGGGGACCACGCAGCCTGACATTAGTGTAATGGAGCAGCATATTCAATCAACATTAACATTTGGCTCCCCTGGACCATATGCTTTGGAGTGTGCCACTTTTCACACTGATCTCTGGCTTTATTTATGCTCCACATGTTGACGAGGCGCCAGTCAGGACAAACACTAAAATTAACAAGTTAGAACATATAGATTTTYCCCCGTTTGTTTTAGCTTGACAGGTCTGTTCCTTTAAGAAAAGAAGTTGAGAGATAAAAATCAATTTGAAAGCAATACTGTGGTCTGAGATGGATTCATCAAACACAAAACGCGCTTGATCACGTTCAAATGGCCTCAGAGCGAGAAAAAAAAAGGGGTCACCCCAGTTTAAAGGGTTAATGCCAATTATTCCCAACAGACAGATGTCCAAGCTTGGTGGATTGAGTTGTCGTGTGCCTTTTTTCTTCATGCCRGATTAATCAAATCAAATTACATTTMAAGAGAAACGATGTTCATTAAAAAMATCAACTGTAAAAYCTCAACTAGCATCGATTAGATTTACACATCCACATGTTAACAGTGACTGAATAACAATCTGTTCGAAGATTAGAGGAGTGTTTTGTTTTAACATTTAGTTGAGTTTGGACAAGCACTCTTAACAGAAAAATGTGAATTCAAGGCACCGCCTAAAAAGTCCCACAAATTTACAAATTTGCTGCTAAAGCTCTCTAAATTGTAGCCATTTTTCTATTTTCTAAGGTCAGTTGGACGTAGCAGTAAAATTTGAATGATAAAAATGATAAAAGTTTTAGTAAAGCAGTCGAAAACACGCCTTTATACCAGATGAAGACATTCACAGGGGTTCAGTGGAAAGGTGAAAAACAATAAATATTTTACCTGTTGTGGATAGCGTTTCATTTTGATGAAATAGCTTAACTCTTGCTAAGCTAATGGTTAGCTTAGCCTTTAAAGAACAGCTACAATCTCAAAAGATCCTCAATGGTTCCAGTGTTATTTTTCTGCTTTTTATTGATATACTTTAACTTTGACTCATCTTTCGTAAAGATTTGACCGTTTTCTTCATCCATTTCTGTTTTTAGCAGCATCTAAMATAGTGAACACTGGCAAACACTAAAGATTTACTCAGCGAAGAATCAACCTGACCTTAGATGAAAAAGATGAGCCATCATTTTGCAGTCAGATATCTGTGTTTCACGTATTCGTGTCGCCTCGCTCAGTCTGCTCTCTTCCAAACGTCCTTAGACAAACACGGCATGTTTTCTTTTYTTTTTGTTCCCCTCAGTGTTGTAAGAGCATGAACAATGAGAAAACACACACCGCAGTCATGGTGACCCCCCACGTGCCCCCCCAGCTTGAAAAGACATTCTTCTATTAAAAGCAGGAAGGACATGCCAAACATACTCGAGCAGAGATCCTCATAGTGCGGTGATTAGAGGGGTGTTTTAATTGTTGCGGCTAAGTTAATTCAGCCACATCTTTATTTTGGACAATCATCGGGGGTGGAGGAGGGACTGGAGAGCGGGTGGATGACACTTTCAGAGACGGCACTGACAGGAGACAAAGTGATTCGTCGTCGCATCTCCTTATCCTCCATAAACAAAAGCCCGGCTCCTAATTAACCTCACCGCTGACCTCCTCAACTTAACACTAACCTCTTAAGCCCTGAAACTTTAACCCCCTTATTAGTTCCTTAGAAAAGGCCGAACACTCGCCCCCCCCAACTCCGTCCCGTAAAGCCTCCTCCTCGTTAAGCCACTAATCACTTCCTGAGTCTTTGTTGTGCTCCTGTGCTATGACAAGGCCGCAGGAGAATCTGGTGGACAATGGTAACAAACAAAAGAGGGACAAGCTGCACTGAGAAGTGGGCTTTTATACAAAACTGATGCTAACATCTCCGAGTCCAGTGCTTTTTTTTAAAACTAGAGATGAAAAGGAAAGTAGTGAGCGTTTGTTCGGCTGAAGTCTCCTGCACATGTGGACAGATGGACGCGTCCATGTGTGTGGTCACCGTCTGACCCTGTCTTGACCTTTTGTCAACGAAAGCTGAGGATGACAGGTACTCAAGTAACTGTACCTGAGCGACTAATCCCACCAGCTGATTGGTTTGTAACTCCATACCCCATCCTGAACAAATCCTGACGCTTTACCAGGGAGCCACCTGCAGAACTGTTCGAGTCATCTTTAATAATGCAAATGCTGAGTCATCATTAAAAATAACCGTTTTCATGTTTTTTGWGTGTTTCTGTGCAGTTTTTTGAAATAGCCACTTCTACATTCTTTATTTTAATCATCCGTACAACGTTCAGCTCATTCAGGCGATGGATGCTTTGATTTTTGTAGTTTTTCTGCATTTTAATTTAACTTAAGAGATTAAGATCTTTCCCAGAAAAGGGTTAGTTCAGATTTTAATCTCTTTTCTTCACCATACTTTTCACTTCTCTTTCTCTGCTATTTAGTTTTAAGACACTATTTGGCTCATTTTAGTTTTTAGATAAACTTTTACTACTTTTAGTTTTAAGCCACTATTGTGCTTATTTTAGCTTTTTGCTAAACTTCTGCTACTTTTATTGGAGCTCATTTTATTAACAAAACATTTGTTACTTTTAGTGAAGCTTGTCTTATAAAATCTTTATTTAACATCAGCAAAACTTCTACTTTGAGCTTTCAAGCATCATTCAGGTAATTCAGTTAAACTTAGCTGCTGTTTTAGTGAAGCTTTTCTTAATTTTAGCTACTCTAGCACAAAATGCTGATGTGTACCAGGACAAACA